TATGGTTTATGTCTGGTAAGCTGCTTTGGAGATTAAAGTTGGAAAATGTCAGACTGACACTTATGGACCGTGCACCAACATGCCCTGGCTGCCACTCCCCCTTGGTAACAACCACTGCTTCCACCAACACGAGCACCCCCCTCCCATGTTGCCTACGCACTTCACCAGCCTCCCCCCCCCCCCACAGCGACTCGGCAAACCACTCCCTCCACTCCCCCCCCCCCCGTTATATTTAGCTTCTCATTATTGAACGGGCCACTTCAGGTGACAACCCACTGATACACAGCCGCTGAAGGATTCTGCAGAGGATATCTCCGCGCGCGCGTGAACTACCTAACGTGCCCCTCTGCATTTCCCCCTCCCCCTAACCACCACAACCGAGACGCGAGGATGACGCCAAAAATACCCAGCAAGTGCCGTAAGACGAGAAGTTGACATAATACGTGCCCTGCGATGGGGTCACCTGGAAATGAAGGGGTACAACACCAACACTGCGCTGGGAATGAATGCCATGCTCTCCCCGCAGCGGGCAATGCCAGAAAAGGCACTGGGGGGGCCATGGCAGTGTGTCTTTATTCTCAATGGACAACCCTCACCACTGTTCAAAAAGCGCAGAGCAATTGGTCAATGACACCGTGTACTTGAGTGTGGTGCTGGCCGTACCACCCTCTTGCGTGCCGTGCCAGCCTTTATAGGTGCTCGCCAACACTACTTTCCAACAGTGTGTAATGGCTATACAGGGAAGCTGTCTTTGTGTGCGAGCGCGTATGTAGGGTGGTAGCGCGTATGTAGGATGGTAGCGTAGTGGTTAACGTAGTGCACTACGAACTCAGAAACCTGGGTTCAATCCTCAGCCATCGCTAACATCAGTGGCAAATGCTATACGAAACGGTCCTGGAACAGCTCCAGGTCAACTCGAACTTCAAAACATACCCGGTGCAGTGTTTAACCAGGACTTGGGAGACAAAGGTGGTCAGGTGTGGTGCTGGCACACCACACACTAGCACCAGGCAAGCCTTAATATGTGCTCACTAACAGAATTTTCCCCAACAGCCTAGTAGAACACACGCAGGGAAGGGGGGGGGGGGGAGGTCTTTAACTTCTATAAGTATGTTATGGTTTTGGTTCTTGAAGCAAGTTTCGATTTTTGACACCCAAGGGTGATTTAACTTTTGACCAAGTAGATAAATTAAATTGATTAGCAACGTTAAATATTAATGATCGTAATGTGAACTCGATAACTGAAATTGCCTTACCACAATGTTAATGGAATAACTAATCAGCTGAAAGACTTGCAGTCTATTATACGGCTTTACGCAAGGATACTTCTTCACTGGGGGGGTTGGGAGATGGATGCTACCACGGTGGAATGGTTAGCACACCGAATTTGCAAACCAGAGGTCGTTGGGTCTATTCAATCTCGTGGCCCGACAGTTGAAGCAATAGCGCAAATTTCTTAAATACCTCACACCTCTGTCCGTCCAGTATAAATTGGACTACACCACTCTTAGTTGATAAGCAAGTCAAGGTGGCAAAATGTTAACTGCCTTGCCTGGTATGCGGGTCGTGGATTCGAACCCAACCCTGAGGCCTGTATATTTGGAGTTTGCATGTTCTCCCCGTGGTGGCGTGGCTTTTTCTCCGGGTCCTCCAGTTTTTCCCTCCGTAATTATAATCAACACCAACACGCCTTTAGAGTATTTGGCTGCTATAAATGTGCACGTGATAAGCCACTTCGTTCAGCTATCATTTGTGTCCAGGTCCCTTATGAAAAGAGCTCTATAGCTCAGTGGACCTTACATGGTCAAATAAAATTGGTTTAGTTTTAGACGACTCTTACATCTTCCAAGACGTCTGGCCAGTGTGGAGGAGTAGGCCAAATACCCTTGAGAGGCTCTCTTGAACTCCCTCGACTGGAGGCCACTTTTTCTAGCTGTGGCATGAGCACAAAATTTGGTCGTGCAAATGTTTTTTTCACAATGAAAACAATGGCTCTCCCAACTCACACAAAGGCAATGGGTTTTAAAAGTTCAGAAATAGGACTGCTACGTGTGCTACATTTCTCAACAATCTTAGCACCTCCAGCATTGATCAAAATGAACTCATAAAATATAATCCTAAGCAATTTAGGCTTGAAATTCAATGTCGCTTAGCTATCAAAGGGAATTACGTTACGCAATTTATATGTTCAACACTATCCACCACCCGGGCCCATATCCACACGAGTCAAATTTCTACATTGGATGTGCAGATATGAGGCAGGGAATATGCAGATAACGACTATTAATAAAACTTTACTGCCTCGGTTATGACCTCATCACCAAGAAGGCGGATTCATAAAACTGTTGCCATAGCAGTGGTGCACGCATGAATCGCTTCTGTGATTGTGCCTCATGACTAAAAATTTCAAGCAGGTCACTTGCAAAAGTGACTCTTATAGAGGCTCATTTTTTTTAAACATTAACATTTTAAATAATAATAATTATATCCCTCTTCACAATATTAATTCAGCCTTATTTATGTTTGAGGCAAGACTATGCAGGTATTCCATACCATATTTTTACGATAATAGTAAATTTCCAACGTAAAAAAATCTTAACCTCGTATAGCTATGCAAGCTGTGATGCTAAATATCGAGCTTGTTCTCAGCCTAGACATTTAGAAATGTATTTCTGAAATGCAGAGTGCTGCCAAACCCGCTTGGATAGAACGTTAGAAATTCTAGCTCCATATGGCTTCACACGAGCCAGGATAGAGAGTTAGGTTGGCGCTTGCAAGCATGAGAGCTCACGAGTTCAATTCATGGCCAGAGTCAACGCGAACCATAATCCCCTTGGGGTCAATAACACGAGCACAAACAGCTGGGCACCACTTGGTGGGAACTGGTCGTGGTAATGAATGAAAGTGGTCATGATAAGGTGGCAGACTTATCCCACAAATATGGAATTTCAACCAATGGCTCCAGTAACACCAACAGAGACCACCATTTTTGAACGATTCAACATGGGACATGTTTTGTTTGAAGACTATAAAAAAAATATATCAAACTGCACAGCGTTACAACAAAAAATGCAACTTGTGCAACATCTCAGAACTACATGCTCATGTCTGCAAACAAAAGGATTAGCAGCAAGCAAATGGATACCTTCAACTGGTATTAAATTGGCATACTATGGGGTGTCTGCACAAACAGGGTTCACAGAGGGGGTATTGGTATTCCTTCACGTAATCTCTCAATCTGTCTGAGACTGCTGCTGCTGCTGCTTCTGTGACCGAATCATCCCAGAGGCAAAAAAAACATCTCAAAGCTTAAACTGTAGCTTATCGATTGGCAGGCATTGCCAACGGTGGGGAAAAACATGAACTTGCATTGTATGTGCGTTTTCAAGCTCCGGTACATACATACTTACGTCTCCCAAAAGTCAATGTTATTCGTGTATTTGTTTTTAAAAGGGGAGAAGATCAGACGGACTTGCATAATTTAAGCTAGGCTCCCCTGGATGAAATGACGATAATTTAAAATGTAGGATTACTCAACGGGGGCTTTGCTGCGGTAGTTCTACAACGTGCCGGTCTGACAGAACGATATGCGTATTGGGAATGGCGCTCACAAACCCGGAGCAATTTTAATTTAGAAGCCAATTATAAAACCTCACGATGAGGAGTGTGGACTTGGGCGGACGCTATTTCACTTGAGATTGCTTTCCAAAACATGGAGCACAGCATGGATTTGCATTCGGTGTAAGTAGCAAATAATTAAAATAAATAGAAAAGATCATTTCAATGGGATTTTTTTAAGATACATTCATTTGTATTTTTTTTTCTGGCTTGTACAAAGAGGGCATGTGTGATGATACTAATAATAAACCTATTTAAGTATGAATCATTGTAAAAAAAAGTATTAAAGCCAGACACAAACACAGCTTTGCAGACCAAATGATTGACAAGCCAGACGGTGTTTAAACTAAATTTTATTTTTATTTTAATGATCACAAAAATACAAATCCTTGAAAACTGCTGAGCTGCTGCTGCTGCCACATGACGTGCCATTATCGAGCTCCGTGGCGTTTTCTGGGAAGCTCAGAAACATCTTTAAACTCAGCCAAGTCCCCAGGGGATTTCGACACAGGAACACAATGCAAGCCACACAGCCCCATCAGTGATTCCTCCATTCTCTCCACGGAACTTATTCTTCTCCCGTGCAGATAATAGAATGGATGTCAAAATCACCTCCGCTTTTTTGCACCTCATTTAATGGCTTGAATGAGAATAATTATGGGGGGGGGGGGGGTGGGCTATCACACTGACATAATGATAGAAAGAAAATATTCATGTGCATGAAAAATTAGTCTAGAGAATGGGACTGATAGAATGGAAACTTCTTTTTTATGCAGATTACATTGTAACTTGCATCAATGCTGTGCCTCACATACATATATAGCAAGATCAAAGAGAACAGCGATGCATTGGTTATCACACTGTACTGTGCATCTCACAAACAGAGGTTTGCTTAGCGGGTTTTAGCGAACACCATTGATCAGTGATATCCGAATCGATCTTGACCTCACACGTTCCCCTTCACCAACCCACACCGATTTGTATGTTGAAGAATGGTCAAACAATCCCCCCCCCCCTAGGCTGTAAATTATTACGTAGGCATGTTGAACTTCTTTCGCACCGTCGAAGATACGGGAGAATGACAACTGAACACAAAAATCAGTTCTAAAGAAATCAGTTTTCAATCTAGAAATAAATTTTCACTCGTAAGCAAGTTTCCTAATTCTCTTTAACGCCTCTGCCCGCCCACCCATAGAGTACAAATGGGTACAGCATGCGTTTGTTTCGTTGGTTAATTTCACAAATTCACATTTACGGACACTGCATTTGAGCTTGCAACGGCTGGCTTCAAAGCCCCCTTCGCTACCTTGTGAGAGAAACACACTCGAAAGAGAAATACACTATGCATAGCCGAGAGGGTAAAGACGCAGCGCCATGCTTACCTCCTTCTTTCGTGGTGACCTATTTAGACTTTACTCCTTGGCATATCAAAACTGCAAGCGGCGCAGTTCATTTGTCAGAGGGAGCAACTCTCTTCATGCACACGTGTCCGAACGCAGAACCTTCAAATAAAACATGACAACAGTATTATTCAACATATGTATTATTAATCTTGCATGGGTGTTTTGTTTAGCTTACCATGCATGTACAAGAGGAAAAGGAAACTCGCATCAGCTTAGATTCGAACTCTACTCCCGTATATACACGAGACAGACTGGATATTATTGTTGAGCTCTGGTACTCCAAATGAGACTCGGATACATTAGTATTCTTCGTATAGATTTTGACAACACAAATATTGTATATTTTAACCACACAGAGCACACACTATTACAAGTTAGTTGCCTAGTAAACAAAAAATAACAAGTGCAATGTTACATTGGTCAATTAATAAAGACATTCATTGCAATCAGACCCTAATTAAAATGTATGAGTACATACTAATGTTTGTTTTACATTTTTTACATTCACATGGAAATCATGTCCGCACCACAAAAGTAATCAAACTTTTGTTAAAAGCCTAAAATCTTATATTTAAATCTGTGAGTATGTTAATTTGCAAAAAAACAACAAATGCCTTTAGCATACTGCATTAGCATACAGCAATTACTTTGCAACTAACTTCATTGTGAAACTTACAGGTTAAAAATGTTGATCGTTTGCAGTAATTCTACTTTATTAATTCCGGTCTTGGATTGAAGAACAGAATCCATGAGGCCAAGTGACGATGAGGCTGAACATCACGTGGCCAAGGTGCAGGAGGCCAGTGTCAAAGTCAGTCCAATCAACACCAGATTGGGGTACCACGGAGGCGAGATGTTAACTACCTCGCCTGGTATACAGGAGGTCGTGGGTTTGATACCGACCCCTGACGCCTGTATATTTAGAGTTTGCATTTTCTCCACGTGGTCGAGTAGATTTTTTTTCTCTGGGTCCTCCGGTTTTACCTTCCACATTTAGAATCAACAACAAGCGTTTAGAGTATTTGGCTCCTATAAAAGTCCACGTGATAAGCCACTTCGTTGAGCTATCAGTTGTGGCCAGGTCGCTTCTGAAAGAGAGCTGTGTATCTCAGTAGGCCTTAGCTGGTAGAATAAAATTGAATTTCGTTTTAGACTACTCCCACATCTTCCAAGACATCTGGCCAGTGTGGAGGAGTAGGCCAAATACCCTTGAGGGAGGCTCTCATGAACTCCCTCGACTGGAGGCCCTTCTGCTATAGCTGTGGCACGAACGGGCAATAGGTCATGCAAATTACTTTCTCACAATAGTTTAGATCATAGATCGTCGAGACTGAGGGCCAGTATGAAGGCCAGTGCCTCGAAGCCAATCCCTGGGACCGAGGCCACATCCATGAGGCATTAAGACCAAGAGCTGTGAGACTATCCCAGCTCCGGGCTGCAGCCTGGTCGAGTACTCGAGACTGATTATAACCATACGAGCATCGCGGACAAATCATCAACTATCACTTTTTTGGAAGTGTTCATTTCACAAACAATATATTTCTAAGCAAACATCCAATAGTATCATATTGTATTCATTTAAGTTAAACACTGCAGAGTGAAAACTCAATACCTCTGTAATAGGACATATTTTGGACAATGGCTTATCTTCACACAAGAGAATGACCATTCATGTGAAGGGCCATGGCCCAAAACTCAGCCTATTATCTATTTTTTTCCAATTTTAAAAGCAATTGCATTGAGAAACGTGACGCATTTTTTGTTATGTATGCTTGTACATCACTGGCAATGCAGTAACATGATTTTATGTAATTTAATAACTGTAGCGACAAAGCACTTTTCTTCATTTGTAACTTAATTATCATTGGTTTTCTACTGTGTACGGTAGTGCGCCGATAAACACAACGTACCAGCATGTGGTACATAATGTGTGAACATTATATGCCGTAATATGGTAAAAAAGGGTGTATATTACGCAAATTTTGTAAAACGCAGTTTTCCTTAGATACAAAGAAGCGAGACACCACAGACAAGCAGGGAAGGGCAGCCAGAATTTCCACCAACAATGTCCCAAGCTCTGTGGTCCTCTATTAGGATGTTTGGCACATATGACAGTGGAAATATAGAAGATATACATCTTACTTAACACCACTCAATATTTCAGTTATACTACCGGAAAAGTTTAGTTTTAATACATTTCAAACACTTAAAGAAAATATTTTTGACCCAGAAAACATCCAAGTTGCAACTTTTAGATCCTAAATCCGTGTGTGACCAAAATTATGTATTTGTTAAATGTAATTGGACATGGTTCAATTCTGAGACACAAAATTTTATTTGGAAAATCACCACCTTTGTTTAAAATAGAAATAATCCTAAAATTCCATTTTAAACCGAGGTACAAATGCAACCAACTTTCATTCATGAACAATTTTTGTAAGTTTGAATATCTGTCCGATACAACAGCCTAATGGGATAATCTTTGACAAAGGATCATTTCAAATGCCTCATTATAAATATTATGGCATGTTCTAAGAAACACTCATTCAAATAGAATAACATAGTGCAAATTAAAAACATTATTTTCCATGGATTGTAAAATAATTTACAAGCTGTGTTGTTATCTGGTCCCTAGCCTCAAAGACTTACACATTTCCACGACAACCAGTTTAGATTTAGACTTAAAACTTCCGTGACTGCAGGAATTCATATTCTTAGTTCTTTTGGTAAAGTCACGTAGATAGAAAAAATAAGATAAAATTTAAATATTAAAATAAAAAATTGAAAATAATAAAAGCAAAAAAACCCACGACGTTTCGATCGCAACACAAGCCGGTCTTCATCTCTCCGCCTGATGAAAACCGCTTGTGTTGCGATCGAAACGTCGTGGTTTGTTTTCTTTAAATATTTTTACAAAAAAAAAATTTTATTTTATTCTTTTGTTTAAAATTGTATCTTATTATTTTGTATTTGTTTTCTATTTACATGACTTTACCGAAAGAAACAAGAATATGAACCAGTTTAAATTTTTATTCTAAATTCATTTGTTCTGGGCAAGGAGCCCAGGAATAAAACCCACCATCAGTCTTTCTTTTCTACATTTAAAACTGGGCCAAACATTATTGAACTAGATTTCATCGTCCAGCTGCTAATGTGATGATCAGTCACACAAGCATACGGGCCCTCATAAGTATTGTACAACGTTGCTATCACTATACATAAAAAGGTAAGAGTGACAAAGTTGCAGCCCTAAAATGTCTCACTCACACCACTGCTGAATCAAGGGCGTACACTAAAGGGAGCTCTAGAGAGCCCATGTAGAGGGTATTTGGCCTACGCTACCATGCCGGCTAAACGTCTTCGATGATGCGCAAGCACCACCACATTTTACTCCACCGCACACGACTTGCCAATCGACTAACTGCGGTGTCAGTAAACAGAGACGGGGGGGGGGGTGATAGAAGAAACTTGCACCGTTGTTTTAATTGCGGTGCCACGGAAAGTTGGATCAAACCGATGACCCCTGGATTGCAAGTCCACTCTGCCAAGCATTACATCGTGGCATAATAAGTCCACGTAACAAAACGAATCAATGGGCTAAATATGTACCCTAATATTCTTCTCCGTCTGGCAGGACTGCTACAGATGGCCCCCCTGCACCCCCACTCCACATCCTGTGCGTGTGGGTCCGTGGCCTCTACGTGCGGAGCGATATCAGTCACTTGGCGGCCCATCGAGTGCAGCTGTCACGAGGCCTCATCGCCACGGAAGCCTCAGCCCCCAAGGGCTTATCGGGGCAGCCTCGCGTGAAGGCACACTTCCTCTTAAGTCTTAAATACTGCACGTACACTCTCGTCACTCGGCCACACGGCACTCTGCAAGTCTTAGTTTGAACCGTGTTCAGTTTACAAAAATAAAAACAACCTTGTTACGTCTTCTTGGTTCTTTCGGTAAAGTCACGTAGAATGGAAATAATAATATAATAAAAACAAAACATAACAAAATAATAATATAATAATATAATAAAATATTTTATCATTGTTATTTTTATTTTTATTATTTTATTACTTCCCTTCTACGTGACTTTACCGAAACAACCAAGAAGATGAATCCCTGCAGTCACGAAAGCTTTAAATCGAAACCTTGTTACAACCGAGCTATACTCGGTCAGAAGACCTCAAAATTCACATTACAAAATATAAAGAAAATAGGAGGCAGGATGGGTCGTTCCTACCAACTGTGACCCGTTTAGATGCTTGTACCCTGGGTGATTGTGTTTAATTTGTTTTTGTGTGGCCACTGCGTGTTGCATGGAACGCACTGTGGCAAGAGAAGTTGTGCAAACATTTGTAAAAACGCGTATGGTGTGTGTACGTCTATAACTGTAGGCAAACCTGACGCTCCAGTGTCACAACCATCCCCTTAACTTCCCTCTTTGGAGAAACAATGGTTGACTTGACCTGATGATCTTTTACTTTTAACGATTCACTAAATAATTAACACGGCATTTGATTTCTGAGAATGCTATAACCTCGGTTGTTGTTGTGGTACAATAAGACGCCATAACACAAAACACACATGGTTTTCATTTTATGCATTTCAATTAATGTAAAACCTGAATCCGACAACAGCCTGTATGTAAACCATGTTCTCCAAAAGTATCGGTGCAAACGGCACACACACCGTGCTTCCAATGGTTTACCGTCACCGGCCGTCTAACGCAAACAGCTGCGCGCACAAGCGGTTAAGTGCTCCTTGGCCAGGTTTAAAATTATGGAGGCAGGCTCCAAGCCCACGGACCAGGCTTTTAATAAAACCCCCGAAATATGCCCCCATTAATCACGCTGCATCACAACCTCCCCCCCCCCCCCCCACTTGGTTGCACTATATTTACATGCATGTGGCCATGAGGTGAACCCTGTTACAAACGTGCAGGCCGCCAAAAAATGTGTGAACTTCCCGCAATTGCTTCATCGGCATTCCGCGATCAATGAGGGTTCCTCGTTTGGTTATTTTAAACAGGCAAAATAAATTAATGGGGCACCCTCTCGTCAAGCTTTTCTAAATTTAGTTGATATACAATACTGGCCTAATGACCT